ACATTGATACTCTTTTTCACATTAAAGAAGTGTTCTCATAGTATAAAATGTCTTCAGTGGGGTAGATAACTTTGTACATTTATTGATAATCACAGCTTTTCTCCTTTCATTTTGCTGATCAACTGATTGCTAATTAGTTGATTAATTCATTTAAGGAATTCTATTAAAATCTGAAATTTCGGGCATACTGAACATATAGTGAAAAAACACCCCAAATGTCCCAAATGTCCTTGAGAAGTTAGGAAACTTCTTAAGGATTATAATCTAGTTGGGTTGGTGTAGTGAGTTATGATAAAATGGGATCTACCATTAAGATGTCCTGTCATTCATGACATAAACTTACTTGGTATTAATATTTTATTTTTAAGGATGTGGATGTTTTAGTATGTTCGGGCTGCTATAAACAAAATACTGTAAACTGGGTAACTTATAAACAACAGAAGTTAATTTCTCATTGTTCTGGGAGATTGGGAAGTCTGAGTCAAGGCAGATTTGGTGTTTGGTGAAGGCCCACTTTCTGACTTGGCCATGGCTCCTTCTTGCTGTGTCTCCTTGGTAAAAAAGTGGGGGCTTCTTATTGGGCCTCTTCAAAACACTAATACATTCATAACAGCTCTACTCCTGTGACTGAATGACCTCCCAGAGTCCCTGCTTCCTACTGCCATCACCTTGGGTGTTGGGATTTCAACATTCAAATTTCATGGGGATACAAATGATCAGATCAAGGTAACAAGTGAGGTTTTTTTTTCTCATATTTTACTGGGAATCATTGCAATTTTAGCAAAATTTTTTTTAGTAATTTTATTTTGATTTCTTTTTGTTGAGTTTGCCAGATACTCATACACAGATTATGCTTGTTTTTATCATTTGTCAGTCTTACTATGACTTAAAACATTTGCATGCATGAGAGTTATCTGTTTCTTGAAGATTTTAAATAATTTGTTGATGCAAACTCCTAAGTTAATTCTTTTTTTATTTTGAAATAATTTGCTTTCCTAGAAATTCATAATTTCACTTTTATTTTAAATTTCTTCATATTGAGCTACATAGAGAATTCTCTAAAAATCTTGAAATCTCTCCTGTAGGTCTGTCTCCTTTTTTATTATTAATTTGTAATATTTGTAAAATGAAAGATCCATCTGCTTCTACACTGGACAAATACTGTATCCTTACAAGGGGACTGGTGATATGTTTTAAATAGCCTCTTAAGAGCATATATGTTTGTTTCTATTTGTATAACAAGAACAAAAATATGTATTATTTTTTCTGATATTATAAGTAGTAATGCATTATGAAACAAGTAATATTTTGGTAAACAACAGACCACATATGTGAAGATGGTCCCAAGAGATTTAATTGCCTAATTATGTGGCTATCTTTGTTTATGTACACA